TATTGTTGAGATGTAAGTTGTGGTGACTGGATCCACCGCATCTCGGTGCTCAGACCATAGTTGACCAACTGAACTGAACCTTCTCATGCAACCAACACCTATTCACAGCAAGAAAAATATAACTCTAGTTTCCAAATATCCAAATGGCAAATTAACGCTTAGACCAAAGGCCTGACCTCAGGGATTGAATATCAGTTTGCTACTTTCGGTATTCCTCTGAAGCAGGACGATTTGCCTATAGAAGAATAAGAAGGAACCACATCCCTTCCGGCTCAGAGCCGAGTGTAGAAAAGCTCCCAACTACCCCATCTTTGGAGAATTCGCCACTACTGGTCGTGGCACTAAATCGACTGAGTCATTCACAGATACAGTAAAACCAAAGCTGACCATCTCTGTGTTGAACACCCCTTTGTTCATCACCTTGTCACAGCTTGATCAGTCACTAGGTAAATCCTATAGAACCAGACCTCTGAATGTTGACCACCACTGTAAGTTGTGTTTGACCACTTGGACTATGACAGGCAGTACTAATTCAACCTCAATAAGTGGACTATTTGAGAATTTACCGTCCAATGGTTTCCGAATGGCTCGTTTGTTCCGATAACACGGTGGGCAGCGGGACTGCAGTCTGTCGACTTCTGACCCCAACTCAGTGAACTTTGAGGATACAGCATGTTCCCATTGTTCATGTGCGAGTTTATCCCGGCAGTCAGCGTTTATGCGTATGCGTATTAACTAATAATGTCATTTCAAGTCATTGGCTGTTGCTTGATATCCCCGGTGTGACTGCGCTTGATGTGCATGTTGACAAGGTGTCTACCTGTCTATTACCCGCTACCTCGTCCATACTGGCTCTAGGAGACAGTTGGTCGTTGCTGGAGGGGACGGGGTGCACGGTCATTGTGGTTGTGCTAGGCTCGAAGAGTGCTCCCATGCACTCAGTGTGGAACGGACTACGGTGCAGCCACCGCCTTGTGTGCGCTTGATTCCCAAATACAGCGTGCTTGTGTTTGCCTGTGAAGGAGTGTGGGCCGGCTCCGTTGATGAAACCTGGCCCCCATCCACATGCCTCTCGGTCTTATTCCTTCGGGTTTAAACTGGATATGGGGTGTGTGGATGGAGCTGTGGGTGGTGCAGCACAAGCCATCCATGGTCCCTGTGTAGGCGCAGGCGTCCTGTGACTGGCCACAGTGACAGGCAAATCTGAAACCGGATGCTGGCAACCATTAACTAAATCAATATGGGTCCCCACCGATCCGCGCCTACGTAATAACCTAGAACGAGTTGTGTTCAAGCTTCCTCACCTGTCCGCATACTCAAACAAACCTACCTCTAGCCCTAAGAACATGTTGCCATTCATCGCACAGGCCGTAAGCAAGTTTCAGTGACTGTCAAACCCACGATTAACCACCAGGTCCAAGTACCAGTTCCCTTGCACCTAGGATGGTGGTGAGGTTGATGTTTACGACCACATTAGTTATCGAGCATTTATCCGGCTCAATTTTCATCAAAAAATGAACTAACTTCAAAATGCACCCTGCGTTTTGGTTTGTTATAACACCGTATGGTTGGACTGCATTTGCCGTTAAATGAGACCTTATCAGGTGTGTTCGGCACATGTTTATGTGAAAATAAATTTCACACTATACTACTCATAGTTGGAAAGTAGGTTACGCAAATTTTGGCATAGGACCTCCGTACGTTGATAACTTTGGTCCAGTCCCTTGGGTGGTCAAGTTACGTGGGTTCTACTGTATGCAAGCTTCATGACAGTCAACTGAAGTGCTTAACACTATGGCTGTTAGAAGCCGCTGAAGCCCTCGCGCTCTGCTGTGTCTCAGCGGACTGGTACGACACGATGAGAAAAGGTTCACTCAGACTTTAAGACTGCTTTGACAGACAGCCTGTAGACTCTGACTAATGAGGTCGAGTGGAAGTTGTATTTATGACATAACCAGCGACGGTGATCAACGTAGTCGCCAGCGGCTACCGATTGGGATATAACTTCCTGGGCTTGATCGAAAAGCAAGATGCTGCTAATATTGGTGAAGTAAAACTATATAAACCGTGTGTGCATGACATTCAGGTATTCCCCAGCAGAGAACAGTTTACCCGAGAGTTAACCGCTCTGAATTCAATTCACGCCAAATTATCAGTATCCCACGAGATGGATCAATACGGTTGCTTGTCATTCGTAGATTTGCTCATTAAGAGACGGAACGGTGGTACACTGCAGCGCACAGTTTATCTCAAAGCGAACTGGAGTGAGCGGTACCTTAATTGTCCCAGTTTCGCCCCGGTTGCATACAAACGCGGCCTAGCAGAAACGCTCTTCGACAGAGTCAGACGATTTCTAAATCCGGAATTTTTAGAAGATTGAGACGAGTTTCATGACTTCAGAAGGTTTGAATACAAATCGGTTTTGCTAGGGTTTTATTGAGAAGAGTTTTCTCAGCCGACATTTTCGAATGGTTATTTCGGTAAGTTCTTGGAAGTCTACAGCAGACTCTCAAAAAAGGAAACTACCGGTAGAGAGGAAAGCTATTTATTTGGTTTTGCCGTTCAAGGGGATCATGTGGCAAATGGTATCGGACACTAGCTCGGATCCAACCTAACACGTACGTACGCGAGTGCCCAGTGCGCATCACTCACACTACAAGGAAGCTAAATAAATTCACTGAATTTCGCCCTTCAGGAGGATCTCACCTCATTCAAAGACGTCAGCCAATTCGAAGATATTATTTGACCCCTTGCTATGTTAACGAATTCACCTAACACAACCGCAAATGCAGCACAGCAGTAACAAATTTACATAGAACACTTGTGACAATTACTAATTATACGCACTGTATTACTAGGAGCATGCTTTTGTAGACGTGTTCCGCACTGTCGGGAATAAAACATTTATTTATTACAATCGTTAGAGCATCTCTTCGGCTAGTTCGGCCTCTCATGTGGTTTATCAGTTCGCCTGCAGTTGCAGTGACGTTTACGTCGGCAGATATGGACGTGGGTTGGCTCAGACGGTGGCTGAGCACTTGCCAAAGTGCGTGAAACAAATGGTGAGGCAATACAAACGGAGCGCTCCCCAGAATAAACCGGAGTCTTTCATCATCTCTCACCAAGTCCCTCATGACAACTGATCGCCATGCGGACCTGAAGACTACGTTCAAGGTACTCTTACGCAACAGGAATCCTACAATGTTGAAAACCAGTGAGGCATTGTTAATTATGGCCTAGCAACCTGTGATATGCGCACGGAAACTGTTGAAGCAATCAATTAGATTGCCTTAGTCTTGATTATAACATTTTGATTGGTGTGTTAATCTTTCCCATATGTATACTTGTGTGTGTTCTGGCCGTTCGGTGTACGCAACTGATGAGAACAATCGAAATATCCATACATCGGAATCTGTGTCATTCTACTTCTTTGATAACGCGGATGAAGGGGACAATGTTCCACGTTAAAACTTGGAGTCGAACACGGAGTCCACATTTTTTCACTCGCGTAAAATCTTACGTTTAACAAGGAAATATCGAAGGTGTAAATTCGTTTTCACTACTTTTTGATAAACAATCGCCTGTGCTGTAATTGGTTAGATGTGCTGAAAGCCAAATTGTTTCTGATTTGCTTGGCACCGGACAAAACAAGGAAAATTCCACCCAAAACATTGATGTTGACTACACGACACCCTAATGTGTACAGGTTAGCATCTGTCTTTCAAAAATTGAGATGCATCAGGTTTGCTCATCATCCAAATGAATCAGGCTTGCGTTCTGTATTGAAAAATGAAAACGTAAAGATCCTGGCCCGTGGAAATTCGTGGCAAGTTAGAGAGTGCTTAGAAGCATGGTATTCTACAGACAATTCAATAAACCGACGCGTTGAAATAGATGCTATATACGCAGCGCTACAGATGAAAGATCACCGAATTAGTGAGCTAAATGTAACGGTAGAGAACACCGGCCAAATGCGTCAAACGACGACGACAGCCGAAGAGGCACGCGGGCGTACTGTACGAGGCAAGAATCAGAGATGGATTTCGATGGTCATATGTCCGTCGAACGATAAAAACTCTGACGGCTAGAAGATCGATCACTCACACTCACTGACGCTTCGTACTGTGCCACTCTGCTACATAAACGCGCACTGACGATGTCACCTCACGTTTGCAGCCAAACTGCCGAGCTCAGCGAACACTCAGACCACCAACGAGAAGATATCAGTTGGATTGACAGGTGTCTTCTCTATATTTTCTGACCCTCGGTTGAAGTCCCATGCATAAAGTAAACACACATAGCCAACTTGTGGGTAAATGTTTTAGGCTGGGAGTAGGTCAGACAACGAAGTAAACGGATTTAAGGAGAATCGTCATAGTACACATTAGTTAAACATATACAATCCACCTGGAAAAGCTTTGAACAGCATTCCTGTTTAATTGGTACTCGTCAGCGACGCTTGTCTTCCTCCACTCGCATGGAATTCGCGCACATATTATCCCCTTAGCGCAACAACCGTAGCCGAGATGATCTCCAAACAGCACTCAATACTGTTGTTGGTGCAACACTTTCAATCTAAGCAACATGTATTTGGATATACTTTACGAGTAAGATAGTGTTAGTATTACGTGACTAGCTGGTACCGAAGTTTCGCTGTCATGGTACCACAAGCCGTTTACTCGAGATGGGGTAATGCTTTGGTGACTAGACCCACACTGGATCGAGAAAAAGGATCCGCGGCGCAAATTTGTAATGCAGTTGCTTATATCTCTTCGCAATGGAGTCGGTGATTTTGACATCTTCATTTCATCGAAGGAGAGTAAGATGCTTACTAGTTTCTAAAAGAATTGTCGACCGTCTGGTGCCAATCCGATATTTATTGTTTGGACACTAAATGGTCTCTTGAATGTGCCGGTATGTCTGAGAGAAAAGTTAGAGCGACAAATAGATTAAAAAGGAGACACCAAATGTAGAGAAACACTTTTCAAGAGTCGTGAAATAAACTCATCCATAGATATATTTTGGGCTGAAAATTTCAAAGTAACCATGTTACAGCGAAGAAATGAAAGCGGAAATATTAAGAAGGAGAGAATGAAAATGATCGGACGAAATGGAGAGAAAATGTCTTGTAGGGCATTGGAAATGTGAACATTGGAGTTCCCTTTCCCTTTTCAGACCGAAACGAATGAAAAGATAAGTCTGACTCGAATTGCTCATATACCCGGGGTCAATCTGTTCATCCGCCTCTGTTTCAAATCGTTGTCCAGTTTTCGCGATGCAGCATTGACAAAAGCCGTGAGTATGGAATCACTCGAAACCTGACTCTCTGCGTTGGGCACAGTCACCGGCGTGGCTGACCGGTCCCGCGTCGTTGCATTCACCGGGAGTTCCACCGCCTCTATTGAATGAGTAGCGTTCAAGTCGGTGGAACAGAAGCATCGAACTTGATCCATTACTCGCTCTTCAGCAGCAGTGTATCGCGCTGGTTGGGCGCCCAACTTATTCGAGGCCAGCACAACGACCGCGTAATCCTCATTGTTTGTAAGCTGGCGTGATCCGATGGTCCCTGTGCATTGACAGCAACGACATGCGGGTGGAGGAGGCAAGTGCCTATCATTCACGACTATGATGGGTGTTGAGTTTCGAGGAGTAGAACGCGAAGTACCTGTGATCCTCACATGCACACACTCATTAGTTGGCAATTTGTTCAAGGTTGATCCATGTTCGCACTTCGGGTGACTGAGATTTGTGGAATTAAACAAAGGGGATGGCGAGTAAGCTCTTTCAGTTCGCCAGAGAGAAATTCCATCCTTCGGTTCAGTAGATTTCCGTACACGATATCTCACCTTTGAGGGCATTGCATTACTCTGAGTCTTTTCAACTAAAACGCCATTTAGTAGTTTGTTGTCGTACCAAGGTTGCGGACATGACCAACTCGCTGTATGATCGAGACTGGGTTTATCAGTCGTGTCCCCGATGCCCTGATGGCTATCGCTGCGCGGGATATAAGTTGCTGCGAAAATCCCATCCGGCCCGGGTGGGTTAGTCGGACGTAGTGAAGCACTGTAGCCGTGGCGCGCAAGCGGACTCCAAAACGCTGTGTTTGACTGGTTGTTGTAGCCTCGTTGTTGGTTGGAAGGTGGACCACCTGGGTTTTCCGCCGTTGACAAATCCTGGTCTACGTTTGGTGCAGTAGGAGACGCTGGGGTAAACAGCGGAGTCAGCCAAGGAACTATTACAGGGATATGGGGTAGTACGCAAGGCGGAATGAACGCCCCAGGAGCCGACGGCATTTGACCAGCTTGGGAATTAGGATGTGGGGCTACGTACGCAAATGGAGGCTGCCCCATGGGAAAAAAGAATCCACCCGGGACCCAAGGACCGGAAGTAGAGTCGAATCCGGGTGGTGGTGGAATACGTCCGAACGGTGGTTGAGGGTGAAACCAAATCGGCTGAGATGCGGAGGTTGGCAGTTGTGCATCATTCGGGTGGTGTTGAGCTGGCAAACCAGATGAAACTAGCACACTTCTCTGTTGCGCAGCATCTGCCGACACGAAAAAAGGAATGGTTCATGTCAACACCAAAGGGGAAGTAACCAAGGAAATACACTCAAAGTAGACAGCCGAAAACAACCACCACACAGGTTGCCAAAATGCTAAGATATTTAACAGGATGTGTAATAATAAATAATAATGTGTCAGCTGTATGCCGTAACGGCACTTCGCTGCCGCGCAACCACCACCAGTCGCGCGCGGTCTGAGTATATCGCGAGAACGCCCACCCCTACGCGGATTCGAACCGGTGAACTTATGGTTGCAAAGCAAACGTGCAGACCACGCGGCCACCGGCCAACTTTAACAGGATGACAGGTGGCTTGTCCAGCTAGGGATCGGTTAGTTGTGCCCGATGAATATGTATTTGCCATATTTTTACTGCTATCTAATAACTTTTAGTAAATACTTGGCAATTTACGGCGCGACATATTGCGGATGAGTACTTCACACTTTGGACAGGGATCATAGGTGATTCTGCCCTCGTCGGATTCAATGAATCCCTATATCATGCCCGTATTTCAAACATAATCATGGGTTAACCGTTTCAAACCAACAAGCTATTAGTAGTTAAAAAGAGCGCTTAGGATGTCTGAAGTGTTTCTACTGCGCAAGAACGTTAGTTAAAGTCGACTAACGGGACATATAATTAAAGCAAGTTGACAGTCGTCAACTGGGAATTCGCTGAAGGTTGTCAACGTAGTCGAATACAGAGTCGGAAATTTGTCTGTGCCAGAATCCGCGAAAATTACGTCGAATTATCTCGCAAAAACTATTATGACCAACTTGAATGAACCGGAATGAGAGTAAGTCTATGGTTGAGTGATTAGTGAAACTATTGGTCTTCAACGAACAGTGGCTGGTATGCGCACTCCAAAGGTCAATATAAGAGCCTGACGACGCACAACGTCACGTATGCCAAACAGGCAGTCGTTTGCATACATGTCTGCGACCCGCACAAAGCATACTGCAAGGAAAAATCATGTATACAGGGTGGCGCACGAAATGTCATACCATTTGTTTGGTTCATTCCACATGTAATATAGATATAATGTTGAAAACTATCATTTGTATACTTTGGTTTATGGAAACTCAGGTATATGTCACGAGAAATTTGTTTAGAATATTTTCTTGGTGCCAAACACAATTTTCAAGATGGCGCATAAGCGCAGCTTAAGCGCTGAACAGGTGAAAGTTAGAATGTTTTACAGAAGCGAATTTTGTAGCGATACAGGCGTTTTTGTGCACACTTTTGTACAAAATGGGCCCCATGTAAACAGAATAATCAGAGATTGTATGGTCAATGTGAAACAGCTGCCTTTGTGATGGAAAAGAATGGACAGCGCAGACCAAGTGTCCGCACCGCCGAAAAGATGGAAGCCGTTCGCTTTTCTTTGACATGAAGTTCTAGCAAAACAACAAGGAGGATGGATACTGACTTGGGAATATCTCGTCGGTCGGTGACCCAGTGGTCTGCAAGTTTGGTTTGCAACCATAAGGTCACCGGTTCGAATCCGCGCAGGGGTGGGCGTCCTCGCGGTATACTCAACCCGCGCGCGACTGATGGTGGTCGCGCGGCAGCGAAGCGCCGTTACGGCGTACAGCTGACACATTATTTATTATTATTATTATTATTACGTCGGTCCATACAAAGGATACTGCATTCTGATCTTCAAATGTTCCCTTACAAGATGATATTTGTTCATAAATTAACAGCGGAGGACAAGCAACGAAGACATCAGTTCGCTTCATGGTTAGTGCAAGAGGAGCACGTTCTGTACAACATGTGGTTTACTGATGAAGCGTATTTTCATTTAAATGGTGATCGCATTGAACACGTATTACATTGAATTAAATCTCCATGCTCACATGATTAACTCTGTACTAATTTTGTAATACTTTGATGATAAATACAGGTGTAATGAACAAAACAACTGGTATATATATCACCAATCTGATAAGTAGATGTAGAGAGTGAAGAGAAGACATGGAGAGAAATGGAAGATGACAGATAAAATCGCCGCGTCCTCATCATCATGACACATTAGCTGACGATGAGCAACACACTTCAGCTAGTGTGATGCAAGAAAAGCAGAACATATTTGTTATTTTGTATACATAAATCTTCCTTTTTTGTCATTTTCAATTGTTAAACATTAAGTATATGAATTTGAACAAGTATGTACACAGCTCTTCCACTGATTTCGATCTTACGCCATATCCTGAACCGTTTCGAGTCGACGGCATACTTCGACCTTTAGCCCCCAACAAGGGAAGTGCGTGCATCTTACGGCAGCAAGAGATGAAGTCAACGATTTCATATAATGTCGCCAGGTGAACGGTTGACCACTGTGTTATCTTTTCCATTCAAGTTCTGCACAAGCGGAAAGGCCGCATTAGCTTAAACGCTCAGCTGACAGGAGCAGGACGTGACCGAGCCATTTTAACAAGCGTATCAAAACCAGCTTGTTGAAGGGAACAATTGCATTCCCCAAGATAGAACGTCTGACTTCACCGTTGCAGATACGTTGATGGCACCACACATGAGCAATCCTACTCAAGCACTCATTTTCGAAGATCGAGAATCGGCGCCCGTCATCTACGCGAACTGACCGTGACTCGGTGCCATACAGCAACAACACCCGAACAGTGGCGTCATAAACACGACCCTTTACCAAAATGGAGACATCTTGACGGCGCCACGTGAGTTGCAGGTTGACAAACCCAGACCGGGATTTGGTGATGTAGAGGGAATATTCCTTCTAATTAGTGCCACCAGCAGACATACAGCTGACCTGGTAGACAAGGCCATCGACGTGTTCAAGCTGTGCGCCTTCAAGAGTGAGCACGTGAACGGGCGAGGGTCAATCCTGAAGCAGCACATTGCATATTGATGGGGGCGAAGCACATGCCGTACGTAGATGCCTCAATCGCCAAACGGTTTAGATAGGTTTGCTTATTTTGCGAGTCGTCACAAAGTGAGGCGATGTCATCAGCATAGTCTAAGTCCCTCGCTCGGTTACCCGGTAGAGGTTGCAGACCAAGATGTTGGTATTCGTACAGACCTCAAGACAGAACATCTTCAATCGCAAAAGTGAAATAGGGACATTACAACCCTCTCGCTATGGACAGCGAAGAGTGATGAAAGCTTGCTATAGACTCACATTCTACCGAAGAAGATTGCAGTATACTTTTCCGGGACCCCGTCCCTTAACAAGCAACGTAACAGAGCAGATCGAGCAACTGAATTGAATGTAATAAGGATGTCTAGGAATGTAACGATAATATACCTCTGTAGAGATGGAGCTGTTCGAGGATTTGGCTGAGTGTGAAGATCTGATCTACACACCACGGTCAGGATAGAAGCCACGTTGTTCTTCACGGTACTGCGCCTCAAGAATCGGGATAGTCTGCGAAGTAGAATAGATCAGATAAACCATAAGAGCCACGTAACAAATGCCTTCGAAAAATTCACAAACGGCACGGCTATTGTGGGGCCTTCTTCCACTGGATCAGACCAAATTTTACAAGCAATCAATAAATCCCTTCTAGAATCCGTGCTGGGCAATGATGAGTAAATTAAATCTATTCATGTGACCCCCAATGAGTCTCGCACGAGTTTTAGAGCAGTGTAACTACTACGCTCATCAGACTGATTGGCCTGTAATTGACAAGTAGACGCACATCGCCAATTTGAAACTGGGACAGATAATAGTTTCGTTCCATTCAGAAGGCAAAATACAGTCATCCAGTGATTTCTGATATACCAGATGACATCGCAGTACTTCAAGCGGGTGTGGATTAGGTATACGCGTGGTCAATGAAGTATCTACATCGGTTCAATGTCGACAACTGTAGAGTATTGCACTTACGGCATAAGTTGGTATACTCCCACAAACTCGAGAACCAGGAGCTACAAACGACTCCTGCGAGAATGATCTGGGAGTTCTGGTCCAGACCGACGTTGGATGCCCGAATTAGGCTGAAATGGCGTCAAAGTGGGGCTTCCAACACGTGTGCATACAGAAGAATCGACTCAACGATTTTTCCACAACTTCGCGGCTCATACCTACGGCCACATGTGGAATACGCAATATAGGTCTGGCAGCGATGGAGATACCCCAACGCCGGGCAACCAACAATGTCATTGGTTTCTATAATTTCCGTATGAACGAAGGTTACAAGTGCTTAGGGTCTTCAGCGGACAGTATCGGTGATTGCACGGGAACCTCCTTTTGAATTAACAGATTTTTGAGACCCCAACCCCACGTGCCGCTACCTGTTAGAGCTCAGTCACAAGAGCAATTTGAGAGGCCACCATCTCAAGCTGGCAGAGCAGGACAGACGTTTGGAATGTCGTCGGAATTTATTTTCCGTACACGTTTGCAAACGTGGAATGCCCTACCGGAATCTGTCATATATGCTGCCACGCTGGCAGAGTTCAAAACCTGAGTTGACTGGGCATTTATTTCGCTGCACCAACTTATATAACTCATTACCGATGGATAAACACGTGTCTGTAAAAGATTTCACTGGCGGTCTCAGAGTTCGTTCCACTTTTTCACCTCCTGTATGTGCACACCGGGAGCAGAGACGATTTGCATCAAAAGCCCATTTTAAAGCAATGAGTTCCCTGTATCAGTGTGAACAAAACAATAAGACGAGCACTGCAAGATGGTACCAGTTCGTGTTTTGTGATGACCTGCAAACTAACAACATATATAGGTCAAGTAGGGGAATAAAATGAGCGTTTGGAATCGGTCAGAAAAATTGCACACAAAAACAAGAAAATAGCTGGTAGGGCTGGGGCAAAAGTCATACATCCCAAAGAAGCTTAGGGGTTGCTGTCAATCGTTTTTGCACACAAAAGGTGGGACGGTAACGATTTAGGGACATAGCCTCGGCAAACTTCAACATGCTGGCGTTTTCGTTTCGATAGATAACCGTAAAAGTTGAGTCATGATCGACTTGACGACCTGTGTTGATTAGGTGT